TTCTACTACCTACAATCATAAAAAGAAACCACATTCAATCATAATATTATAGCCTTATTTAGTTGCTAATATGATTATATTGACCATCATCAATATAATTATTATTGTTAATATGATTATGTTGACCATCACTATTATGATTATGTCAATCATCATCAATGTCATTATCAGTATGATTTGGATGCTCAATCTGACTTGAATTTCATATGTTCACGTTTTGAACTTGTGAGAAATAAAATTGATGAACTTCAAAGCTCCATTCAATCTCCATTAAAAGAAAAGCATTGCTATCAAGTTGAGGAAGAGAAGTTATATCAAAGGAAAATAACTACTAATCTTCTTGATAGTATCTTAAAACGTTATAAAAACCTTAATATTTTGACTTCTGAAAAAGATAATATTCCTAACCAAGATCATGTATCTATATTAGTGGTGCTAAAGAGTAACATCACCGCTGATTTTGAGATTGAGGCATGTGACAACATAGAAATTAAAGAAGTTTGGTCAAATCATGTTAAAGCTTTTGCTCCTATTCTAGATATAAACATTGTTAAGACTCAAGAGGCAACTCTTAATCAAGAAGAGGAGAAATTATGGAAGCAAATTCTACACATGGTAGCTAAGAATTTAGAGACAGTTAATGATGGTATCTAATTTCAACCGGCTCCTACTCTACCTAATTCATCTACTATACCCTCTAGAGCTAATGTTATTGCAAATATAAAAGCACATACTATTTAGGAACCATATGGTCCCCTCCAATATTATCTTATTCATTGGAAAGGATTTTTAGATTTGTATATTGTGCTTCTACATGCTCAGATTATTTACTGTTCACTTAATGCTATTTATTGGTATCTAATTTGCTAAAAAGAATTTTTAAATATAACTCAGAATCTCTCAATATCATTGTACTTCCAGAGCATATCCATAGTTTTACTCTCCAAAAGAAAGTTCTTCAAACAGGGGAGAAATAATAAGAAGAAAAAAAAAAGGAAATAATCAAAGATATTAAAAATTTGAAAAGAGAGGAAGGTCAAATGTATTTTATTAGAATATTTTATTAATTGAAAATATTTTTTTAATTGTCCTAATATTTAAATTATTATTATCTTTTCATTTAATTTTAGGATTTCAAGAATTTATTGTATTTAATTTTGGGGTTAAGGTTCATGCCTATAAATAGCGTTTTAAGTCATTTGTTTTGTACACATATTTATCTCTCTATTTTTTCTACAAATCTCTTTCTCTCCTTTCTATATTCTCTCTTCCCTTCTCTTTCCCCGTCCTTCATCACATCCACTTGAACAAACGTTACTGCTATCGAAGGAATTGAACTCTGATTTCTTAGGTAACACTCCGTTGAATTGCTATAAATGATATTAAGTAGGCTGCATGTGACATTGAAACGGTTCTGTTATTACTTGCCTTCACATGTGGCTTTGAAAATTTATTATATTCTTAATTCATTTTTGTAATTGCAATCCGTCAAATTTTCTTTTCTGCCCAATGTATATATGATTGGCCAAAACGGTTTATGTGATTAAATTAAATATATAGGAGCTTGCCAATGTCTATTGTAATGGAAGCAAATGTAATGATTTAATTCGCTGGTTTTTTTGGCTTTGCTGCTTTATTGTGTGAATTCAGGAAAAAGAAAAAAAAAGATGTAATCATCAAGATGTGATTGATATTTAAGAAAGTTAATTATTCAAAATGTACATTAAATTTAATTTTTTAATATTATTTATAAATCACTTTCAATATATTTTATTAATATTAAAAAATTTTTAAAACTCATTAATTTTATCTTAAATTATAATAATTTTTTAATTTTATCTCTATTAAATATACACATTTTAATAATATTTTTTTTTCTAACATTTAACAGAAAGTAAAAAAAATTATGCTAAAAATTTAATGACATAATTTATAAATATAATTAAAAAAAAAATTTTATCCTATAAATAGGATGAGATGGAGTATATATCAAAGGTAACCTGCCCATCTGTTTTTTTTTTTTTTTTTTTTTGCTTTTGTCCGGGGGATACATCAATTAGAATTTGAGAAAAAAGAAATTGAAGCTAAAAAAAAGTGCCTTAACTTCATATCATTGTATTAGCGACGTCATTATCAGCCTCAGACAAGCTCTTGGTTTACATGTCAAACTCTTCCTCATTTCTCAAAGAGTAAAGAACATTTTTACCTCTCAATTATTTATTATAAAATATTTGATATCTTAATTAACATATAATATAATTTCTCTCTTTAATATTTAAAAATGATACGTTGAATGCCTAATGTTAACAAAGTTAACTTTAACGGTTTATTGACTAAAAAATTACATAAAAGGATTTTAAAAATTAAAAAAAATGATCAAAAAAATTACATATAATTATCCTAAAATAAAATTAATATAAATTAAGTCTCTTAAAATATGATACCAAATGTGTTTTTCATAGTAACTATAAATTTTTAAAAAAGGAATTATAAATTTTAAAGAAAAACTTATAAATTAACACACTATTTTAGGGATTTAATGGATATTAATTATTTTTATGGGGTACTTGTTTGTAATTTCATGGGGCTTTTTTTGTAATTTTTAAAGTTATTTTTTGTAATTTTCCGAGTTAACTAATCATCAAAAGAATTTTAATTGCATTATTTTCGAATGTTAAATAAAAAATTATATCATATGTAGGTCTATGATATCAGAAGTTCTTAATCAATAGACAAAAATGCCCTTTAACTCATTTCTCAATATAGAGGACATGTTGACATTAAGGGCACTTAAATTATAACGAAATAATTAGCTCCCAGAAGAAGGTTGAAACTTGTAACATTTAAGTCTGCGTTTTATTTAAATACAATAATAAAATCATTGGCAAAAAAAAAAAAAGTTAAAAAAACCTGTGTGCGTTAACTTTTGCGTTTGATTTGAAGTGCTTGGACCTATCTGTTATACCAAAATAAAGTAGTTTAAACATAAAGAATTAGGTAGAATTAACGACTCGAAGCTTATACACCGTTCATTTTTCTAATCACTTTCGTACATGAGGCTTCCATTCTCCAACAATAGAATGATGCATCTTCATCTGAAAATCAAGTTTCCATACGATGGTCATATAATTAACTGCTCAAATGTGAGTTTAATTTTAGCTGTTGGAATTTAAAACCAAATAATTAAAGTTTATTCGTGTGGAAGTGATCGATCTTTGGATGACTTTGGGTATTTAAATTTTAAAAAAGTTGCCCAATACCCTTTCTTATTCCTAGATCCAAAATCAAAATAAGGCGATTGAAATGTAGGTTCAGAGATGATCACTGACAATCCAATCTAACTAGCATTGACTCCAACAAATTACTTCGTACGGCATCAGATCAGAATCTTAACGAAGTGCAATGAATCTTAATTTAGCTTATACAAGGTCAACATTTTAGGGCTCGCTGGCAAGGTCAAAATAAGTGAAGGTAATCGATAGCCTACTAGGGTACGCATGATGATCGGAATAAAATATGAATGAAAACATTAAAGTCTCGTGTTTTCTTACAATAAATAATATTATTTATTGCATTTCTACAAACTATATATCATGAATCATGACTTATCTATTGTATCCTATATGACTCAAACTCAGATACATATCTCTCATGCAGCCAAAGCCAATTAAGTCGCATCGTAAATATGAGATTCTTTCTAATCACATTCAAATTGGTGCAGTATAATTCATATTGTATATTTGTGGCCTGGTTTCTTAGGGTGAATTAGTGAATGATTGTGAGTCAGTTAATGCAGGAGAGAATGGCCAATCGAGCAAACGAGGAGACCTAAGAAGTCAAGCCCATATGTAAGGAAACAGCTTTGGCTTCAAAAGTCAACTTATTTGCCGATAAACAAGATCCCCTACATGTGTGCCTCCCTTTATATTTCCTGGTCAACCATCTTAGCCCTAACAGGCGTGCCTCATCATCATATACGAAGTCTCATTCATGATCATATATATAAACCACTGTATAGGGTTCCTGTTTGGGTGTATATATAAGTCAAGTTGAGTTGAGTTAACCGAGCTTATTCTACTCTGTTAATTCAAATTCTGCTTGTACACTTTTGCCTAAGATTTTACATACTCATCTTAGCGAGCTATATAACTGAGTCATGATATGTAAAAATAACTATCTATTACACATAAAGAATATTGGAATGCATACACACACACACACAATTCAATTATTAATACATATGCATCTTAAGATTTGGATTTTGTCACTTGAGCATCTCAATTATATTACAGTCATTGAATTTTATTAATACTTCAAAATTATTAAGATATATTTTTCTTTAAAAATTTAAAATAATCATCATGATATATCAAAGCACTCCTTAGATATATTATCCTTTTCAAAAATTTAAAATTTAATACTTTATAAATATTGTATGACAAAATTTCTTATTACTGTTCAATTAAATTAAAAAATTGTCATTGTGCCATTTGACCTAAATCTCATGACTTTAGAAACTTTAAAATCAACTTTCCAAGCTTTTTTTTTAGTGTATATGTAACCCTGCTATTAATGAATCTAAACACTACTTATGCATGGCATTTATATTACAGAAATAATTTTTGGCCATTGGTTTAACTTTTTATTACACTAAATTCAGTTAAATCACTGTTTTCATTATGATTTGTTAGTTGCAATTATAACTACTGTAATTTGATAGCACCTTGAATTTGCATCAGTTTACTCAACACTTTAATTCATACGAAATTTTTTTTTTTTTTTATGATTGGGAAGCTAAAACCCTGAGCCAAATCTAAGAAGAATCGGCGAAAACAAATTCTTTTATCAGTGTATAACGCGACTTTTAGCAGATTTATTATTCTAATTAATTAAAGCACATATAACACAGTAATGCTGAGCCGATAATTTAGGGAAAGCTCTCATGCATCTTCCAAACAACACACCTTCGTCCCCTACGATTATGGAATATTTTATCGCAAAACTTACGTTTAAATTACACACCCTTGCCAAATCTCAACCTCATTACACAAACCTCGAACTAAACAAAATAGCTATAGCTTTAGCTAGCCATGGTGGCCAATACCCTCAAGCTCAGCTCCATTATTCTGATCACCTTCATCATCTTTCTAGCTCTCTATCCCCAAAAGGTCCTCTCAACAGATACACAAGATACAGAAGATGAAGAAGAATACGTTCTTGATGATGACAGTGACACACCATTGTTCTCTCACTTGAGAACACGAAGCAGGTTCTTGGCCAGCAAGATCATTATAAAGAAAGGCAGACGCTGTGATAATTCCAGTGTTGCTCACAATATCTGCAATGGGATAGCACCAAGCAAAGGGACGGGCATGCTTTTCTGCTGCAAGAAGCATTGTCGCAATGTTCTTAGCGACAAGAACAACTGTGGACAATGTGGTCATAAGTGTAACCAAGGAGACCGATGCTGCAATGGGATTTGCACCAACGTGTTCTTCAATGATGGAAGCCATTGTGGCAAGTGTAACAAGAAGTGTTCTCTTGGGGTTTCTTGTGAGAATGGTTTCTGTGGGTATGCCTGAAATTTAACAACACAAAAGTTTGTTTAAATTATTCGAAGGTTAGGGTTTCCATACACTTTCAACTCTATTGATCAGTTTTGAAATGTTACAAGGGTTACATGAAATCTCAATGTTTCACCATTGTGTTGCATGCTATAATTTTTTCCCGCATAATTCAAAGTACTATATTGCGTGATAAAGAGGTACTGGGGAAGAAGGAAAGGGTTGGGTTCAATAATTGAATAAAGTGATCTAGTTGATTTGGTTTTGCAAGGTGCTTGATTTTGTTTACTTGTTAATACATTATTATATAATTCTGTTCTTTTACTTCCTTTTATAAGCGATTTGTATTTTTTTTTTTTTGGCTGATAACATGAATAAATTCAGTGAGCTATACATTTCGTTGCCTGCGAATTTTTTTCTTGAAATTGAGCGTTTTTTACATTCAATAATTTGTATATAAGTAGACTTGCATTTTCTTTTAACAATTATTCAGTACTCTATAATAATATCAACTAGTTTGGAATTAATAATAAATAAAAGTAGCTTTCTTTTTTAGTGTGACTTTTTTCTATCAGCAAGACTTAAACAGTAATAAAAATATATTTCGTCTAGCAAACGTTGGTTATTTAAGATGGTGTTAGAAAAGATATGAAATATTATAAGGTAGCATTTGGATTAATGAATTTTGAATTTAAACTTTATATTTAAAATCTCAAATTTAAATTTCACTTGTTAAAATTTATTTGTTTGAATAAGGTAAAAAATCTTAAAGGTAAAAGAGAAAAGGCTAATATTTGAAGTAAAAAAGAAAAATTAAAAGTGATAAATTTATTTCTATTATTTAATTGATGAAAGACGAAAATAAAACAAAAACAGTGTGGCAAGAGAATAACAAAGGTACCACTATTAATAATGTAAAGAAAATGAGAAGGTTGAATTAACTTGAATTTTAAATAATTAAATTATAGAAGAAATTTAAAATTAAAAAACAGTTATAACAAAACATATATTTGAATTTGGATTTAACTTGTACTTATCCAAACAAAAAATTTAATTCAAATTTAACTTTAAATTCTTCATGTATCCAAACAAATTTTAGGATTATTCAAATGATAACTTGTATGGATCCAAATGAAAAATTTAATTCAAATTCAAATTTAAATTCTTCATGCATCGAAACAAATTTTAGGATTATTTCAAATGATATGTTATACAAATAATATTAGAAAATTTCATGTAATTAGAATAAAATCCCCATACTTGCCACATTTTATCTATAATCACATTCCAAAAACATAATTTTTTTAACTATCACATGATATATTTACAGTATAATTTTCATGATGTGAATGTAAACAAGTGCTAATGTACAATAGGCTTCCATCATAGAGATATTATATATTCCAAGGCCTCTCCCACAAGTGACAACTATTAACCCTATCTAGACAGTATCAAATTATGACTTAATAAGTAAATAAATTTGGGATTTCCTATCATCCTATGCCACATGCTTGCTGTTTAGATTGCTGACGTAAGTCCTAATTACAATTAATAACAGTGCATATTGACGTTTTAAATGTTCATTGTTCAATAAAAGTCTAAATATATACACACCATTTGCCCTTTTTAAGTTCGATATACCTAACAGGTTTATTTTTCTTTAAAAAAAAAAAAACTAATGAAATGGCATAAGAAAAAGCAATGATCTCATGAAATAAGTGCAAAGCTACGCTAGGCATACAGTTGTGGCATGGACATCTAATTAATTTAGGAAAAGATGCAGTGTCAGTATGACATACAAAAAAATTGTTCATCAAAACAATTCCACTGGACACGAAGACAGCATCAATCACAGTTTCTCGACCTTCTTCAACTTGATCCACCAACCCCACATTTTCACCTACAATCACAATCTTCACTACAGATGATTGGAGTTCTTTCTTCCCCACTATCTTCTGAGGGGAACATGTCTTCCCCAGGAAGGATCATTTCACTTCGAGAATAACTACAAGAAAGATAATGGAATTAGCGTGAGCTCCTCCTGCAAAACCTTTTACAAATACCGAATCAGCTCCACTGCAAACTTTCCTTTCTTTGTTGAGTTTATTTCACCAATCTGCATCAAGAATAGAATAAAGCACATAAATGGAGTAAGTGTACAAAAAAATTCAAATTCTCCCACCTCAAAAACGGGCAGTATTACCTTTAATCTTCCCCTTCCACTGACAGATACAATATCTCCACTCTTGAGCGCGGCTCCTTTGGTAGTGACAGGGACCCAGTTAACACGAACAGCCCCCTCGCTACAAGCATGATTTGCATGCTACCATTATCACACAAATCTAGGAAAATTCCATCCTTACCATATAAACACGTATAGTAAAGATTTGTTGTGAAGATCCTTCGTGAACACAGTATTAAATACATAGCACAGGTTCAGCCCAAAGAAAGTGCACGAGAAAAACGTCTCAACACTTGACCAGAGAAATTTAAGGTCACACCCAAATTGCAGATATATATTTTATCAAGGTATGGTTACAGATAAACAGGTTCAGAGTTCAATATATAAATTCATTTTAATAATATTTTTGTGCAATTTTCAGAGATCTACCCCGATATGCAGGAAAAACTAATGAATCATATGCAACAAACAATTTGTAAGCACTTGCTTACCCGATCAAGTCAACTAGCTTTGAACGTGAAATTTTGAACCCAGCACTTGCTAGTGCATCAACTCTTAACGATGCTTCTATGGTTTTAAATGACTTGGTTCTGCATGGCAGACAAAGTTAGTAGTCTATAACAAAGTCAAAATGTTATCAACTTAAGAAGAAGAAGTCGTTGAAACCAGGACTAACGCTGCACCTTGGTGGTTCATAATCAAGAGAAATTAATGGTATCTGGCTGCAAGATACAGGAACATTACCAACCTAAACAAGAGAGATGCAATCAAAACAACATACATAATATATCTAGTATCCATATCCTAGACTAGTAATGATACACTATTAATGTTTATAGCAGAAATTAAAAATCTATTTATTGTTGGTTTTGGTAATTGATGTCTCCTGAGAAAAGTGAGCAATAAAAAACATACTGTAACAACGCTACCTTACCCAGTGACGAATGACATAATCAGCTAGTTCCGGAACAATAAGTATCTGAGCACCCTGTTCGCCCTGGGTAGCAAAACTAACTTAAGCCCCTTAAATCTGTGCATCTACGCAATATAAGGAGGGGGGGGGATTTTGAAGAACTGATACTTTTTGGATATGGATAGAGTCACACAGAAATCAGAATGCATGCCAATGTGATAATGCAGTGCTCCCTCTGGTCCTTATTATAAGTCACTTATAACTAATTCACAAAAACCAATAAAAGTTAGTTATACCATTGAAATTGTCTAAAAGTTACTTTGATTTTCATTTTTACCTGTAATAAATATCATACATTTGAAAAAAAAACCTTCTTTATCTTCCCATTGGAAATTGAGAAGAAGAGCATATTTGGAATAAAGCAATTAATGCCACAGAGTCTTGCAAAGTGACTTATATTTAGGATCACAATTCTCCTACAAGGCGACTTATATATGGGACGGGAGGAAGTACCAAACTGAGGTCATAACTTGAATTTCAGCCAACTGCTACATAACCAAACCTTTTGCCTTTTTAATTATATGGAAGTTGCCACCCTGCTTCCTGAAATTGATTTCTAGACAAAAAATTTTTTTTTTTTTCCAGACATAATGATTTGGATTTGTTTAGATCCGTTCTATGAAGATTTTCTTAATGGATGCCACTTGATAAAAAGAAAGAAAGAAAGAAGAAGAAGAAGAAGAAGAAGAATATTTTGCTATGGATAAGCTGAAGCGAAATAGAAATTGAGACCAATAGAGAACTCCTGAAATAGAAAATTCAGAATAAAATCAGCGATGGCAACAGATTTTGGAACACAAATTACCACCAGTGCTATTATTGGTTTAAGTTTATTCCAACAGCTTGAGTTTCACTTATCATTGGCCCAGAAAATACAAGTGTTTTATAACACAAACAGTACAAATTTATATCAAACATGCATCTGTAAGAAGGTACTTATTTTTATAAACCAGCTTAGCTGGTCCTTGCAAGATGTTCCGTTTCCTCATTTGGATATAGAACATCTTACAGATCCAGACTAGTGAATAGTAATATTAATTTATACAGTTACTAGAAGCCTTTTTCTGTTCACTGAAAGCAACTTCAAACAAATTCTTCTCTAATATACGGACAGAAAAGAAAATACCTGCAATATTATATCTCCAAGTTTCTCCCTGGTGATTCCTGTACTAAGGATTGAACCAAGGAAGTCACCATGAGAACAAGGTTCAAACTGAAAGTTACCAGTAATGCTGAAAAGAGAAATTTTAGGTAAATATTAAAAAGGGATCTAGAAATCTAAAAATGGATGCTGGTGGGCTAGCAAGTTTACTAAGTAATAGAAATTACAAGACTAACCTCAATGCTGCAATTATATCTGGGTCACTTGTCAATTCTTCTGGATGTCCAACAGAAATCCGGCAGCGTTCAGCCTACAGAATATTTCTGTTTATGTCTATATATTACAAGCACAGGCAACTTATGTCCCAAGGCAACAGAAAATACTTATAGAGATAGTTACCTGTGGGTAACCTCCTTGAGCAATTGCTTTCACACCTGCTAGTTTTCCCATCACTTCCATAGATTCCTTCAGCACTGGAGGGGTAAGAAAATTTGTATGAAGAACTTCTTGTCTTGACAATGCCCGTTGAGCCTACAACAAAATGGATGACAGTTGACAACCAAGTAGGGAATCAAATAATAAGGCCATAATATAGATAACCCCCTTGAATTTTAGATCAGATGCAAATAACCCCTTGACCTTTAAAACTTAAAAATGAACTCCTCTCCCTTTCCAAAGTTCCAATTCTGTACAGACAACTCTCATTGTTGATGAATCAATTAGTCAAAAAACAAAAAACAAAAAAACAAAATGGTGATATATCTAATTGAACGGACCCCCAAAAATCCATCTTTGGTACAGATAATTCCCCTAAAGTGTCACACTACTGTTAGTGAAATAACAAACTCATTAACCAGGAATTGTCAGCATAAAATTCAAAGTTTAGATGTCCATTATCAGTTTTGAAGAACATAATTGTTATCTGCACAACCTTAAAACTCATGGAGGTTCAATGCATTTTCGCCAAATAATGTTGATTAGAGGGTTAAGATTTTTGAGAATGCAATGGTCAAAGGGCCTCCCTGACTTAATTATACCTAACCTGCCAAGGTAAATGCAAATCAGAATCTCAAGATGGGAAAGACACAGAAAGGGTTTCAGCTTTCAAGGCTGCTTAAGAGATGTTTGAGGTAATCTAGAATGAAGAGAAAGGCAACATAGTACCATCTCAAGAATATGCTTCACTTCTTTTATTGTGCTTTTCTCTTTCACTCCCCTGAGTAGCACATCACCTTCCTCTCCCTTCAAAGCTTGTACAATCTGGGTCACACCTGAAGCTGAACATCACAAAGCATTAAAAATTTGAATAACGTGTCATATTTGAGATGAAAATAAGAAATATATCATACAAATAAGGCATACATAATACAATAATGAGCTAACTGTTCAAAAGGTCTGAAAATAGATCACATATATCCTTTTGCTGCACCATCACCTAACAAGCATTTTTGAACCAGATGACTAAAGGATAATACTTGAAAGTGGTTGGTTGTTTAAGGAAGCAAGGGAAAGATAAAATCTATAATTATATAGTATTATGTAGCCATAATTATTACCAGATCCAGAATGCAAAATATATATGATATGTACATCATTACTTAAACCGATGACTGATAAGGAGTTTTGAGAGTTTCCAAAGGCGTAAGATTTTTCTCAGGCATTACGAGGGCCACTATTGGTTTATAGATGATTGTGTTAATAACCAACAAGGGACTCTATCATGACAAAATGATTCACGTACCCTCATGCTAAAGCCTAACGGGAGGGCCATGCAATAATAGGATCATGACTTTAATGTTTATGTTCACGCTGTGCGTGTTCAACAATGGGAAGACTTATTTCCATATCACAAACTTTATTACCGGCAATTTTCAACTTGATCAAAGTTTATCCCAGAAATCTGATGAAACTTCTAAACACGTAAGAGACCCTCTTTGTCAAACACCATTCCCCATTATGTCCATTTAGGTCAATCTTTATAAACTTCAAATAAAGTTCATCTGTAAATATTTCGAAATACTCTGTTGAAAATGTGCCTCAGGAATCTGTTAAATTCATAAGCAGTACGAAACCCTATCAAGCATCACTGCATCAGTACTCCGTTTCAAAGCAAATATGTTGAAATATTTCGTTTTGCTCCATTTAACTAATTCGATAACATATGAGTGAGCTAGCATTGCACTCTGACGTATTCAACTGCTTTATTTTAAAAGCGGGGCGAAAAATGGAATGAAAGAAGAAAGGATGCACTCTTTGAATCCTCAAGTAAGTCCCCTGTTTACAGTAACCAGAAGTCCACCACCAAAAGGTTACGTTAGCAAATAACTGAAATTAATGGATATGTGAAGAGCGTCGAATTACATAGAGCATTGGTGCGGCAATCAGAAAAACAAAGGAGAAAGGAAAAATCTTTCGGATAAGTCCAGACCTGAAGGACAAGAAGCAGCGAGGGGCTCAGAAGAAATGGTCCTCCAAAGAGAGAGTTTAGCGTTGCAACGAGGAAACGTAGAGAGTGCAAAAGCCTGAGTTGCTCTGCTCAAAGACCGGTGCGTTCCCAAGCTAATGGCAGCCATGGCGGGTGTGCGCTTCCCCCACACGACAACACCTAAATTGGCCGTTTATATATCCACATTTGGCAGTTTTTGAAAGCCGGGAAATTTCTCCCAAAAGGCGAAAGGGCCGAAACGATTTTCTTTTCTTTTATTTTTTTTTAATCGAGGGTAGTACAACAGGCGGGACGAGCTAGCTCCAGAGGCTGCCCGCGTGCCTTTAGCCCATCCTGTTTCCTCCAAAACTAGCTGGGCCAGCCTGTATCCGTGCTCAACCCATTTTGTGCGCTTCAGAAGGCTGAGCCTGTTTGGGCGGGCTGAAAACGGGTTGGTTCAACCCGTTTTTTTATGAATACTCATTTAAAAAAAAAATAAATCAAGGACTTCGGGAGAGAATATGGAAGATGGAAACTAACACGTGTTAACACAAAACAATGAATCACTTCATAAAATAATCATTTTTACTTGAAGTTGCAGACTCAACATTTTTTTAAAGAGCCTTGAGGGCATGAAAAAACATTCATCACTTGAATGTTCATATATTTTTACACTTTTTAAAAAAAGAGCTACTACATTAATTAAACAATCCAAAGTCTAAACTAAGACAAATCCTTGAATAAATGAAAGACCATTAAAAATTTGAACACTGGGTTCAACTCGAGTGGGAGACTGCACCAAGCAAGCAACAAAATCAAAAGGCCTAAATCAAGACGATGAATCTAAAAGTTCAGACCTGTAAGACTATAACAAAAACAAAGCAAATAATATTGCATCATTGATTTCAAGTTCAAATCACACTTGTGCTTGAGCCACCACTGAATATTTGGACTCTGGACTAAAGCGAGATGTGAAGTAGTGAGACAAGAAGCAATAAGATCAAGATGCAAAGAAGAGTATGCTAGCAACTTCAAAAGGTCAAATCAAACTACTCAATTCTCACCTCTACAATTTCATTTCATTACGAGGTGCTGTTATGTCGTGAGTTGAACGATGCAACTCAAGCTTGAGTGGAGTGGTGAACAGAGCTCGATAGCAATTGGAATGGAGAGTGTTAACGGCAATTAGAAATAAGACTCAAAGAGACAGAGATGAGAGCAAGAGCTGAGAGAAAAGTCAAAAAGAAGAGTGAGTGAATTCAAAATAAGATGAGCAAATGATGAGGATGAGATGACATAATGAGTGAGCAAGGCCGCAATTGTGAAGTTTTTTCTTTTTTCTAGAGTGGAGTGGACAAAGAGATAAACATAATGTTCAACAATTTTTTATTTTTATAAGTTAACATGTTGAAATGGACAGCTTAAGGGGTAACCCATGACTTCTCTCGCCCGTTTATGATACATATGGGTTAGTCTATAAATTTATCATATTCACTTTTTTCTTTTTAATGGATCGGTTAAAACCCAACCATTTTGACTAAGTACAGGCGAGTATGATAAGTCACAAGTTGTCTACTTACCTCTATCTTCTACCAATGAAAATCCAAACAAACAATAACAATTAATATTGGTAATATGTACTACCTAATTTGAAAATTTATTTGTTTATTTATCCATATTTTTTGTTTATCCTTGATTTTTTTATAAAGCTTAAATATGTTTTTTAAAATTTCTTAATGCTTTATATTTGTCAAAATATCTTTCTCAATGTTTAAATAAAAGTCATCTTTTATGAAAAATGCTTATCGTATATTCAAAAAAATTTGTCATATTATCAAATGCTTATATTTTCTTTTAATCTTTGTACTTTTATAATTTTGATGTGAAACTTGAGAAAACCACAATGCTAAAAAATTTCTTAATGATTTATATTTGTCTTTATATCTTCAAAAAATTTTATAGTTGTGCTCTTCGTTCAATTATTTCTTACATTTCTAAGCTTTTTTTAAAAAAAATACATATGCACAACTTTTTAATCTGAGCACTTTTTATTATTTGCCTATATTTTCTTTAAGAAATATATTTTTGATGTGAGACTTAAGAATGCACACATTCTTACTTATTTTTTCCTTGGGCATTTTTTTAAAATTTTTCCCTATATTTTCATTTTTTAATATAAATATGTCTTTTTAATCTCGATTCTTCCTTTTATTTATCCATATTTTTTGTTTAACCTTGATTTTTTTATTTAACTTAAATATGTCTTCAGAAATTTCTTAATGCTTTATATTTGTCAAAATCTCTCTCAATTAGTTGAAAAATGTCATCAGTTACAAAAAATGTTTAACATTTATTCAAAAATAAATTATCATATTATCAAATGTTTATAACATTTCCTTCTAATCTTTGCACTTTCTATTATTTATCTGTAATTGTTTCTTTAAAAAAAATATATTTTTGACGTGAGACCTGAGACTGAGAAAACCACAATGCCCTCACGCCCTATATAACTCAAAAATTTCTCAATGATTTATATTTGTCTTGATATCTTTAATAATTTTTATTATTGTGTTTTTTTTATTTATTTCTTTCATTTTAAAGCTTTTTAAATACAAGCACAATTTATTAATCTTTGCACTTCCTACTATTTATCTATATTCTTTTATCAAGTTTGACTTTTTTTATTTAGTTTAAATTTGTCTTCAGAAAGTTCTTGATGATTTTTATTTTTTTATATCTTTCTCAATTTTAATAAAAATCTTCATTAGTGAATAATGTAAATCATATTTTCAAACTGTTTCTTTTTTTTCCTTGTACTTTTTCTTCATTGCCTTTTCTTACATTTTAAAGCTTTTTTTTGAATATAAAGTATAAACACATTCATAGTGTTTCTTTTAAAAAAATATTTATTTTTGATGTGGAATCACCATGCATACACGCTATATATAATTCATTGCATTCTTTCTCTCGTTTTAAGTGTGCTTTTTTTGGTTTTTTCCCCTGACATTTTAAATCTTTTTTATTACAAGCACATATTTTTGAATTTGCACTTTCTATTATTTATTTTTAGTATAAACTTTATTTTTTTAACTGAAACGTGTCTTCAAAAAGTGCTCAATGCTTTATATTCCTGTTGATAGCTTTCTCAGTTTTTAAATAAAATTCATCATTTAAGAAAAAATGTTAATTATCTATCCATGCAAATTGCATCATATTATCAAACATTTATAGTATCTGCTTTAAGAAAAATATATTTTTAATGTCTGACTTGAGAAAATCACCATGCACACATGCCACATACAATTCATTGCATTCTTTCTCTCTCTTTTTCCTTGGGATTTTTGTTGATTTTTCCCCACCGTTTTAAAGCCTTTTTTAAAATATAAACAAGTCTTTTTTATCTTTGCATTTTCTACTATTCATCTATATTTCAGGGAATTATTTGATATTTGTTGAGGTAGAGTAACCTTGTAGATTGACCCGAAAGTTGCCACTCTCTAGTTGAGCAGCTTGTTCCGGAAACATTGTTGTTTTCCCTGGCAAGAGGTAGCCATGATTTATTGTATTTATGTGTTGTTTCAACACACTCTATTTACATGGTTTGTGTGAAAATACTAGTTATATGAGAGGATGCTGTGATGATAACTCCAATTTTGGGTAAGTGTTGAATTATGAGACCCCTTGTATATTTGTATGCTTTGAAAGCATGTGTTATGAAATAATGTCGAGGATATTTATGATGAGTATGGAATACATGTCATCTGTGTTGAAATTGTAGTGATGAGGATGTGGATGGCGATGATAGTGATGATATGGAGAGTAAGTATTGTATTCTTTGATCACATAGTTTGCCACCATTAGGTACCCAGTAGTTGGTTTTTTTGCCCCCCTCACAGCCCTTGGTATTTTCCCTTCCCTTGACATATGGCACCTTTCTTGGATTTAAAGGAGATGGAATTCATGATTCAATGTTGGGCTTTGCACCTATGTTAGGTTGCACCCCATTATTGGTTAGCTTGGTGAAACCCAATCACATGGGTGGATTCTATTTAATATTGACAGCTCATGAATTTAGTTAGAGGCATGAGAATGGGGTTACGAGTAGTGTTTGTGACTATTCTGTGCATATATTTATTAATCTAGTTGTTGTTTGGTTTATCTTGATAGTGATTATTATTATTAGGGATAATGAAACTTTTATACCCCTCAAATTTGCTTCAATTATCAATTTGGTCTCACAAGTTTAATTATGATCATTTTAATTCTTTATATTTTCTTAAATTATTATATTAGTCCTTCAAGTTTTAAAATACAAATTACATCCATAAATTAAATATTCTATTTATAATTGTTATTGTTAAATTATTTGAATTAATGTTTATAATTTAATTTTAAAAATTTTTTCAAGAGCTTAATTATTATTAATTTTTTTCTTGTAGATTTAACGGGCATTTTTCCTTGCGTTTTCAAACTTTCAATTTTAACTTTTCAATTGAATGGAGATCAAAAGGGCAAATGTGTCTTTTAATTCAAAATTTTGGAAATTTAATAACCATGATCATGTTGAGTAATTTCAAATTTCACCAATTGGTGGCCCCTAAATCCAAAATTTTTCCAGTGGTCTTTAATTACCATTTTCTTTTACTCCCTAATATCCTTTTGATAAGTTACATTTTTTAAAAATATTTTTGATCTTTTATATTAACATTTTTCATAATATTTAATATACAATTTTAAAAGTATCTTTTAACAAATTCTTAAAAAATTACAATAATTTAATTATTAAAATATTTTTCTTATACATCAAATTAATTTTTTTAAATCTAGAGATAAAATTGAGAAGTAGTTTATTTTTAAAATAATTTTATTATTTTATGCAACTAATCTTAATTTCAATGATGGAGTTAGAAGTTATTTATAAAAAAGGAATGGAAAAGTTTTTTTTTTTTTTTGGACACGACATCAACTGTCGAACAGAAAGGTAAAATTTTTTTAAAAAAATTATAAAATTAATGAATGATTAGGGCAGGGGAGGTGAAGAAAAATGGAGAAGTTATTCTACCTACGAGTACAAAATCCCATGAACGAACGGTCTAGATTTGCTAGAGACGCTAAGGGAAAAAAACTTCGCTCTCGGATCCCGAAGCTTAACGTCCCTACATCCATGCCAAGTCACTCTTCGTCTCT